TGGAGACCCCCCCCTGGCTGAGAGTCCCGGAGGAGGAGGAATTGTCCATTGTCCCCGACACCGAATAATGGAGGAAACAATCAAACTAGAAAGTCGGATTTGTTACATTTACAGACAATGTCCTTCTTTTTTTAAAGTTTACCTTTCTGTCCTTATTCATGGTCCCCCCCTCCCCCACCCAACTCACACAGCTGCGTCCTCCATTCACGCTCACACAGGTGCACCCTCTATTCACACAGCAGCGCCGTCCATTCACGCTCACACAGCAGCGTCCTCCATTCACGCTCACACAGCAGCGTCCTCCATTCACGCTCACACAGCAGCGTCCTCCATTCACGCTCACACAGGTGCACCCTCCATTCACACAGCTGCGCCCTCCATTCACACAGCTGCGCCATCCTCACACACAGCTGCGCCCTCCATTCACACAGCTGCGCCGTCCATTCACGCTTCCCCCGCTGCGCCCCCCGCACACACAGCTGCGCCCTCCATTCACACAGCTGCGCCATCCTCACACACAGCTGCGCCCTCCATTCACACAGCTGCGCCCTCCATTCACGCTCACACAGCAGCGCCGTCCATTCACGCTCACACAGCTGCGCCGTCCATTCACCATTGCTTTGACAGGATCTGTGAATGTGGAAACTACACGTCCCATCAGCCATTGCAGCACAGGGACTTGTAGTCCTCAGTGTAATATAACTGAGGTGGTGTCCCCACAGTTGTAGTCCGTTGACCCTTCCTCCCGTCTGTTGTTACTGAACCTCCATCATGCAGTATGGACATGGACAGAAGGAAGAGTCTGCAGGAGGCAGAGCATTGCACCTGATCGCGGTTGCAACGCTTTACTAAAAAAAAAATAACAACTGCTCATTATTTCTATGAGGGATATGTGTGCACGGATCATCAAAAAGATCAGATTTCCCCTTAATGAAATCCTTATTCTCAGTGCTGCTGTTCTCCTTCAGCCTCTTTGCAGCCACTTCCTGTCTACAGGCACTGCGTGGCATTTCCCAGTGCTGCTGATCTTCTGCAGCTTCGTTGCAGCCACTTCCTGTCTACAGGCACTGCTTGAAGACTGCGTGGCATTTCCCGGTGCTGCTGATCTCCTGCAGCCTCGTTGCAGCCACTTCCTGTCTACAGGCACTCCTGTGATGGCTGCATGGTGACCACAGTGGACCATGTCTGTGTAACGTGTGATGAAATGGCCACTTGAAGTCATCAGAAGCCAGGGTGACAACACAGGAGAACAATTGGGAGACAGGGAAACAGAGCGTTGTCACCCTTTAACAAGGAGTGCCTAAACAAGAACATTCATGGCAGGATCACCACAATGAAACCAAATCAGAGAGGGGCACCGATGAGGCTTTTCAGGGTTATCACCACCCGGCCGCTATGGCACAATAGCAGTGCCCAGCGGGGGGTAGGATGCCGAGGACGAGTACAACAGCATGGGAGAGGGGACCGGAGAATATTGTCTTCGTTTTTGGGAGGGATGGAGTCACTTTAACACAATGTTTGTTCTGTGACCCATTGTCCAAGTCTAATGATCCCCCGGCCAGCCGAGGGGGAACGTCGGCGTGACTTGTACACTGGCGCCATCTAGTGACCAAACTGTAAACTGAACGTTGGACATTCAGGCTGCTCTACTAATACCAGTCCCCTTAGAACAGCAGGAGGACTCCGCAAGACCTCTGAAGGTACGCTGTGGTATCTGGATGACCCCCCCTAATAGTGAGTAGGTCCCCCTTCTCATGACCCCTCCAGGCATGGCCTCCACTAGACCTCTGAAGATATGCTGTGGTATATAGATGACCCCCCTAATATTGAGTAGGTCCCCCTTCTCCTGACCCATCCAGGCATGGACTCCACTAGACCTCTGAAGGTGTGCTATGGTATCTGGATGACCACCCCCTAATATTGAGTAGGCCCCCTTCTCCTGACCCGTCCAAGCATGGCCTCCACTAGACCTCTGAAGGTATGCTGTGGTATCTGGATGACCCCCCCTAATAGTGAGTAGGTCCCCTTCTCATGACCCCTCCAGGCATGGCCTCCACTAGACCTCTGAAGGTGTCCGGTGGTATCTGGATGACCCCCCTAATAGTGAGTAGGTCCCCCTTCTCCTCATCCCTCCAGACATGGACACCACTAGACTTCCAATGGTATGCTATGGTATCTGGATGACCACCCCCTAATATTGAGTAGGCCCCCTTCTTCTGACCCGTCCAAGCATGGCCTCCACTAGACCTCTGAAGGTATGCTGTGGTATCTGGATGACCCCCCCTAATAGTGAGTAGGTCCCCTTCTCATGACCCCTCCAGGCATGGCCTCCACTAGACCTCTGAAGGTGTCCGGTGGTATCTGGATGACCCCCCTAATAGTGAGTAGGTCCCCCTTCTCCTCATCCCTCCAGACATGGACACCACTAGACTTCCAATGGTATGCTATGGTATCTGGATGACCCCCCCTAATATTGAGTAGGCCCCCTTCTCCTGACCCGTCCAAGCATGGCCTCCACTAGACCTCTGAAGGTATGCTGTGGTATCTGGATGACCCCCCCTAATAGTGAGTAGGTCCCCTTCTCATGACCCCTCCAGGCATGGCCTCCACTAGACCTCTGAAGGTGTCCGGTGGTATCTGGATGACCCCCCTAATAGTGAGTAGGTCCCCCTTCTCCTCATCCCTCCAGACATGGACACCACTAGACTTCCAATGGTATGCTATGGTATCTGGATGACCCCCCCTAATAGTGAGTAGGTCCCCCTTCTCATGACCCCTCCAGGCATGGCCTCCACTAGACCTCTGAAG